CAGCTCACGCTCATGTGGGCGCTCATGAGCGTGACCGTTTCTACGTTATTGAACTCATGATCATTCCTGATTATTTTTTAAACTTTATTCATTGAAAACTAACACTAAAAATTTATATGTCTGTGGTTACTCTCAGATATCATGAAGAAAACATTTTTTTACTACTTAAAACTAAATCTGTTCTGTTGGTAGAATGAAACACGCTAATTACGAATATTATAATATAAATCCATAAGGTTTTCTTGTTCTAGAAATAATTCTAACGGCTTTCTAAATCCTATTCTCTATAGCTAGTGTCATTATCGAGACATTATTTGCCTAAATTCATCAAGAAACATTTTTTCTAACTTCCAATTTCAGGTGTGGATGTGGGTATGGATGTGGGTGGGTGTGGGTGTGGGCTTTCCCTCAGCCACACCTACGCTCGCACACCACACCGACAACCACCCACACCCTATCAAGGTCAAATTGACAATGACCTTCAAACATCATTTTTTTTAATTCTCTGATATTAATGAAATACCGATGTCATTTCAATCGCAAATAAGTGCGAAGGAAAAAAGTGTCAAGTGAACTTCAAATAAAAATATTCATAAGTGTATATCAGAAAAGATATATTTAGATGGATATGAATACAAAGAAAAATAATATAGTTCGTTGTCAACATTTTAGTGATGAATATGTTCAAAATTTATATGAATCACCACAAACAATTAACAAAACAAATTTAAATTGAAGAAAAAGACTTATTTTATCAACAAAAAACAAAATAAATATTACACAAAATTTAAATAAATACCAAGGAAAACATATGAAAACAGAATCAATAATAAAATTTAAAAAGTTCACAAATAGGGAAGAAAATCATTAAAAGATATTGAAGATATTAAGGTTAATAAACTTATTTAACGTAAAGAGGGTATGGGTGTGGGTGTGGGTCAAGGAAATACTAACACCCACACCCACACCCTAGGGTAGACAACTCAAGATGTGCACCGAGTTCCGTTAACTTTCCTTTTCATGAAATCTGCTTAACAGAGCTCATGACTAGAATAAGAAAGGTCAAACAACAATGAATAATAACTTTATTGCTCAATACTGTGTGTTATTTTTGTCGGACTTAACATGATAATCACTTGATGAACCATAGAAGCTCATCTTTGTCTATCATTTAAAAGAAATCCGCGTTTTTTTTCATATCCAAACATTCACCGTCACTACACAAGTTCGTTTTCCTTGTTCATATTTAATATTATAGTTTGCATTTCCTTTTGCTAGTTCTTTATCAAACCAATCTGAAACCGTTCGACGATCTTCTGATGTTTTCATTGAAATCGTCAGATGAAATAGTTTCGGTAAATTATCCATTAGATATTTGAATGCAGATTTTTGACTTATACTGCATTGAAGAACTTCAACATTGGAAAATGTCTTGCAGACTCTTGATAACTCAGCTTGAGTAATAAACATTTGTGTTGGAATACTCCAATTCATATATAAATCCAATCTTTTGATCATTTTACTTAAATATGTACACAATTCATCGTCCACTAACAATGGCAATAATACAGTTTGGTTGATATACATCGATGATACCTTAGGCATTTCTTTTAAGATGCTCAATAAAACCGATGGTTTCGTAATCTTACAGTCTGATGAAATGTATAAATAAGACACACCAGATAAAGTCACACTACGTTTCAAAGATCTGATGTCTTTAGTCTCTAAAATACATTTCTCCGAGATTTCTAATCCCCAAATGTTAATGAAGTAATTCTGTAAAAATGACATTCCTTTGGTTTAGGAATTCTTTTTTCTTTTGATATGAAATCTTGAGTGTCCCTCGAATCTGCTGGCATAACAAAATAACTACTTGAATTTGTGTAAACCGCTAATTTACATCGATATAATGGACATGGTATCGTACAAATCCATCTGTTGTCACTGGTTAATAGACATTCCGTGTGCCAATTATGAGCTCTATGCCAAAAATCACTTTGAAATCGTTGAAATATCTCCAGGATGTTATCGTCGGCATCCATACTATCACAACTGAATCTAAAATGAAATGTTTCCAGTTGAGGTAATGATGAAGTGATCAAGCATTCCCATCGATGAGCATCAAGAATATTTTGACCAACACCGCTACATATTGATAGACATTTAAGATTAGGTATTAGTTTTACAAAACGTTCAAATTCTTGGAAATCATGATCAAAATCACCTATCACCATGGTTGTTAGATTCGTGGCACAGCAATTTTCATTGCGGATCTTTCTGAATGGATCATTGCTTGTTTTGGAACATTCATAAACATTTAGATAAGTTAATAAAGGCAAGTTGGCTAATAGAATGTGTAGATTGTCTAAATCACATGATGATATTGTTACATTAGTAACTGATGAAAGTACATTGCGATGCCAATGAAGCTCACCGAATGAACTTAATGATAGTGTTTTTAGTTTCAATGTTGTCAGGTAAGATAGTACGATATGAACGAATTCCCCATTACCGTTCAAGTGAAGCGAAGACAATTCTTTCATTGATGATATAATTGATTGCAATGGTTGAATGTTTTCGTCCCCAGTGATAGTCAATTTTAGTGAATGCAAATAAGAAAACTCGGTGGTCGAAAGTAATGATGAAAACTTTTTTACTAGATCACATGAATTCTTGTTTGATAAATGTAGTGAAACGATTTGATCTCTGATTTCTGGATTTTTCAAGATAAGTTTACAAAATTGATCGAATCTTGATTTGCGAATATATGAAAAATCGACATATAACATGGAGTTTCGAATGAGATGACTAAAACGATGATTCAATCGATCGAATGAATAGAATAACTCACAAGCATTGATGTAGGTAAAGCATTGCAATAGAATCTCATTTGGTAACGATTCCAACTTCGTATGGGTCTTGCTTGCTTCACTCATAGTTAACAGAGTAAATGATTTTCATATAAGCAAAATTGCTTCATTACCATGCAGCATTGCGAAATCATTTTGCTTATGACAGAATAGATAAAACTTTGTACACGAGAAAGGTAAACATTTACACTGATTTTATATGGTTATTTCGTGAACCAATAGGCATCAAGAAAAAAATTTTTTTTTTTTACAGCTACATAATATATCGCAGAAACATTTTCAGAAGTCACGAAAATACGATTACATCCATTGATTACTGTTCATACTTAATGAGTTTTTTATTTGTCTTTTAAATAAGTAGGTGTCACTAAGAGAAAAATCCTTTTCCCTTAACACTTCAATTTCGAATTTTCAGCGTCCATATACGAGGAATTCGTACCTCGCTATATTTGAAGGACTAGCCAGAGTATTAAGGCGTAGAAAACGAATCCCGGTCAACTTTGGAATAAATGTGATATTGATCCATTGATCGTCAGACGTGTAACCGTTTAAATTCTTTACAGTTTGTAACGAATTACAATTAAAACCCGCAGAGAGTCTATGACTCGCAAAATCGCTGGGAACTGATATGTCCACCAGTGAAATTTTTTCTTCTCTTCCTTAAGTAATAAGTTTTTCAAACGAAAAAATAAAATGGTGAGGATACCACTAACATATGATCACTTCAGACGATTTAAAATCAATATCTAAAGAAGATAAATAAGATCTAATTGAAGTTCAACTCAAACACGAAAATGAATACATAGCAGTAATTAAGACTATTCGA